CGATTGAACTCCGCTCGTTTAATCCCTGCATAAAAGCTTGTACTGCCCAATCATCCGAGACCGGTGGTAATTCCATTCGCTCCATTTGAAATCAGGATACAAACTCCCTTAGCATCTCATCATTCCTCTGTCTTATCTTAAAAACGTCTGATTTCCTTGTCGCAACCTTTATGGCCCCGGCATGTGCTTTTACGAAGGCATCTGCTAACATAGCAAACGAATCGATAGAGTTTGGTCGAAAGTTATCATACCAAATCATGGCTCCCTTTGACAAAGTTTCCCCAATTTTTTTCAACAATACTGACTCGATCTCATTATCATTTAAGTCGTTTCCTTTAATCCTGCAAGTGTATGAGGTAATATGTTCATTACGATCGGTTGTCCCCTTGTATTTGGATATATCAGGCATACAGAACTTTTTAGCAATGGGCTTCGAAGCCGCACTCGGAAGGAATGGCTTTTGTATGAATTTATTAGCATCCAAACCTTTCAAGACCGGGGGTGCTACCGGTATTTGATCAACACGGGAGTTATAAGTCTCCACTTTTTTGTCATTATCCTCAATCTTTTTCTCCTCGGACTCGATTCTCTTGGTGAGTTCCTCGAGCATCCTCATAATTGTGGGATCAGTCCCCGAACCATTACTGTTTGATCTTTCTAGCACCGGCTCAATACGCCGAGTGTTTTCTGGTTCGACTATACTTGGATTTCTGTGCTGACTTTGAAGCTGAGCGATAGCAACGTGTTGAGATTGTAGCATCTCGAATATTACTTGGAGGCTGAATCCTCCATCTCCTATACCCTGTGTTCCTTGGCCACCGGATCGGGCTTCCCTACGTACACGTCCTCCGGGGTCTGCGCCTAATTCTGCATTCAAAGCAATATGTGAAATAACATCGACTGATTCCACATTTGGCACTTCCCTAGGGTTAGTCGGTGGTACACCGACCCCTACATTATTGTTTTTCCCATGAAATCCAAGACCATCATCGCCGTGTATGGGTGTGTTTTGTGAGTTTGACATGTTTTAACCTGAGAACAAAAATTCTTGACAAGAACAAGTGTGAAGATAACGTGTGTTATCAGAATCAGTACTGAAATAATCACTATTATCTTTAGCCCCACGGTGGGCGCCAAATTGTTTACCTCGAAAATTCTACAAACAATTAAACTTGTTTATGGTTTTAAAGATACGTGATTTAGTTGAATACTAATTAATAACCAAGAAGTATAACGTGCGAATGAAAGAAGTAAATAAAATCAAACCAATGTACAAGCTAGTCTCGGCCTCGAGGTAGGTCAAGAACAACAAAGCTAAATGACAATTCTGATGAAATATGAGCAAGAAAGTAAGAGAGTATATTCTTGTCAATGATTGATGAAGGTTACAAATGATTGGGGTCCCCTTTATATAACATGGGAACCCTAAATAAGGTACATTTCTATTTACAGTAAGGAATCTTATTGGGACAGTTGTCTAACCGCCTAGTACGGATTCGTAGTAACTCGTACAAATCTATTCCGGAATTTACGCCATGATCTTGGGGACGTGGCGGGAATCTTGCTCTTTATGTTACAAACTCATAACGGCATCATCTCGGGGTCGGTCGCACTCGGCTTTGGCGCTCATTGTGTACTTCGATCTTCGAGCCTTATATTCTGTCGTCGGGCTCGAGCTTGATCCATCAGGCTCGAACTTCACCCATCCTGAACTCGGGCTTGAGGTGACCCTTCGAGTCCGTAAAATCGGGCATACCTGATTTCGACCGTATACAAGTTCAATGCTAAAAACTTTAAAAGTTGAAGCCATATAATTTAAATATTGGATCCGCCTCTGTGAGCAACTATGAAAATCTGAAGGAAGATGTAAAGGTTGGGCAACGAGGAGGAAGAATAGTGTAAAGCATGTGCGTTCGAGGGCGTGTCAAAACTTATGGTTAGCACATGCTCAAGCCTAAAGAGATGCACTTTCCTAAAAGACCCCTACGACCCCAAGCTCCTCAAACTCTCCCTTTTTAATAAGAGGAATATAAATAGTCATAAGTTATAACGTGCATGTCTTCTTCTTTTTTTCACCGTTTGGCGTCTTCTTTATCTTGACATATTTTGTTGTTTTTCATATTAGTATTGATAGAGTTTGGTGCAAAATTGTAATGGAGTAATTCGTTTTAGCTCTGTATCAAAATGGAGGAGGAAAAATTACATTATAGCCCGGGCAGATCTACCTTAGCCCAAGCGGTGTCACGTGACACCGCTTCGTCGAAAATCTTTACTAATTAATTATATATAATTCAAATGAAAAAACAAGAAAACAGTAAAATTAAACAAGTGACACCACTTGTTGTCAAAGGGGCGTGTAGCTTATTTGGTCAAAGCCTGAAGATTTCTACGTAGGGTTGCGAGTTCGAACCAGTGTAGTCTCGTTCTGTGTTTTAATACCTTTTGTACTACTTGACTAGCACAATATATTTTTTAAATTGAAGGATGCTGCATTATAAGTTGTGTTTTTTCTTTTTCCTGATTGTTTTTTTTTAAATATGATATATTACAGTAATTTTTTTATTTTTTCACGTCTAAAATGGTGACACCGCTTATAAAAACTCCTGCGTACGCTAATGACAACAACAGCGACCCAGTAAAATCTCACTAGTGAGGTGTGTTTTAATACCTTTTGTACTACTTGACTAGCACAATACATTTTTTAAATTGAAGGATGCTGCATTATAAGTTGTGTTTTTTCTTTTTCCTAATTGTTTTTTTTAATATGATATATTACAGTATTTTTTTTTTATTTTTTCACGTCTAAAATGGTGACACCGCTTACAAAAACTCCTGCGTACGCTAATGATTATAGCTTTTTTGGCTAAGCATCTTTTTAGTCAAAAGCGTTTTTTTATAAGCCAAAAGTGTTTTTCCTCCAAAATTCAGATGTTTGGTCAAGTTTTTAGAAGGGAAAAAAGTGCTTTCGAGCATAAGCGATTTTGAGAGGCAAAATAAAGTAGCTTCTCCTCAAAAGTACTTTTGAAAAAAATACATTTAGAATCACTTTTTAAAAGCTTTTTATTTATTTTTTTTGGTTTCTCATCCGGTGTTCGGTATCTGCATTGGAGCCCAACTATATCCGGATACACGCCAGTAAGGCCCCATTATGGGGGGAAGCGCTCCCTACCAAGGATGACGTCATCATCAGGAACTCCGAAAAATCGAAGCTCAAGTCGTTTCTTATCATTTTATTATAAGAAACGAGGGGACTATCTGTATACGGTGAAAATCGGGGCTACCCGATTTCGTTCTCCAATGGAAAAGGTGATACCACATCGAGAGGTCAGGACGCCGAGCTCGGGGTCGAGGCTCCTTTCCAATATCGAGGTCGAGGCTCCTTTCCAATATCGAGGTCGAGGCCGATAACTTTAATTTGAGGTCGGAAGAAGGCCCACTTCGAGATAATACTGTAAGGGTTCAATAACAGAAAGAGCGAGATTCCCGCAACGGCCCGAAGATCACAGTGAATATTCCGGAATTGATCCGTCTTTAGCAGTTAGACACCTATCGAATTAGATTCCATACTATAATTAGAAGTGTACTTTATTTAGGATTTCCATATTATATAAAAGGGAGCCCATTCATTTGTAATGGACGATTCATTAACAAGAGAATATACACTCATCACTTTCTTGATTACTGTTCATCAGAGTTGCCTTATAATTTACTGTTCTTACTAGCCCACCTTGCGGCTGTCATAGCTCGAGGCCGAGACCTGGCTTGCATACTAGTTTGACTTGCTTTATTTCTTCAATTTATGTATTTAACTCCTTGTTTATCAATTGGTATTGGATTAAATCACATATCTTTAAAACTACAACATAAATTTAATTCTCACTCGGATTTAGGGTAAACAAATGCTCCAGCTGCAATTTATTCCAAAGCAAGAAATAAACAAGTACTAATTGATTAATGAAGATTTTCTTATTTTTCTTTTCTCCCCCAATTTTCCGAGGATCTGCAAATGATGTGGCGGTATTTTTTTTTTTTTTTGGAACCCCAGGAAAACCCGCAGCCGCTACAGCCTCTGCCACAGCCTCTGCCCTTCGGGTGAGCACTCTGTACGCACTGGGTAAACCCCCACTGTGTAATAGCCTGCAAACCACACATGGGATGTAAACCGCACTAGGCAAGCCCCGTGCGACAGGCTCAGACCCAGAAGGCATTTATTTTCATTAACTATAACAATAAATATCACACCTAAGAAAGGAGACATTTATATTCTGCCGATTTGGCACAACACAATTGGCCGTCATTCGTATTTGTCATGTCAAACGTTGACATACAACACATCTTGCTGGCCAAGCTTGTTTACCTCTTTTAGTTTTTGACAGTCCTTGCCGGCCAAGTTAAAAATTTAATTTCACATGATTCCCAGCTACCACCTCTTAGTAGTAATTTTTATCTTTTTTGTAAATCAAATAATAATTTTGTAAAAATACCTACCGCATCAAGCTTTTGGACGAAATGTATATCAGAGTCACAGATTAAATAATACTATATGTATCATTTAATTATAGTTCCTCTTGGTCATCCAATAATTTTTTTTAACCACAATTAAATGTTGAAAATAAAATTTATATAATAAAAATTGTTGATTCGGTTTAACACCTGATGCAAGAAAATAGTATTTTTTTTTCTTTAACATTTGTTTGCTTTATGGCTCTTCTAATTAAACTTTTGAACTGTGGCACGATTCAATTACCTTATTTTTTTGCTTACACCCTATAATAATATCTAATTCTATATAGTATATAATGAGCTTATAAGCAATTCGATAAAAGATTTAAAAAGCAAAATTTAAAATGGTGAAAGTGAAACCAATAGTAGTAAAGTTCTAGAATACTGACGGCGTCAAATAAAACCCGTATCTCACGGTGAAAGAGTGTCAAAGTATGGGGGTCCCACTTCCATTTCTATATATGCATGGGGGACCCTGCAATAATATTACTCCTTTGTCTGTCACCTCCAATGCCAAAAATCCTCTACAGGGAAAAAAGAGGAAGAAAAAACTACAGAGGAGAAAAGATCATTAGTCTTTACAAAGCTCTGATGCGGCGGAAATTCATAATGGAATTTGGATAATTAAACCTCAGAGATCGTCCCTCTATTTCGTATGCAAAAAGTTCAAGTTTTGCTTTGATTTCTGGTAAGTAATTCACATTTTTCTCTTTCATATTTTCCATAGGTTAGTGTATATTTGTTTCTGCTTAAACACCAGAATCCCTTTTTCTTTTTGGTGGGATTTGAGAAATTGCTATGTGTTTGTGGCTTTTTGAGCTGATGATGTTTGATTTTAGGACTTAATTAAACCTTAGTTTTTGTGCTGGTTTACTGCTCACACTTAGGATTTTGTTGCATTACCTTCAGTTCCATGGTTTCTGGTTTTATTGTTCTGGATTCTTGGTTATTGGAGGCCATAATTGTTTGAAATCTATTGTTGCTGCTATTAATTTTATTGGCAATTTTTGAATAGTAAAAGTTTTGGGTGATTTGCTGACTGATTATGATCTTGATTGTTTTGGATAATTAATCTTGTGGTTGATGAGTGAAGTTTGATTGTGGTAATATGTTAACTAGTTCTCCAGAGTATCATGGAGCCAATATCCAGTAACAAAAGAGTAATGAAATAGTAGCCAGGGTTCCTAAAAAGAACCATAGGCCAATAAAATCAGTATCTCAACATTCATTGAGAATTGAAATGGTTAGCTTTTAGATCTGCTTTTGTTGACTGCAAAATGAACTCTATATCAACAGTTGATTTGTTAGAGAACGGTGCTTCTCGAGTATAAAAGTTGAAATAGCAGCAATTTGATAAACAAACTGATACAAACTTCATGATACTGCCATACTAACTAGTGCTCGTTTCACTGTTTCAATGTCCAAGTCTAGACCGAAAATGAAAATCTTAAACCCTAATTAATAAATTAAAAAGAAGAAGAAAAGGAAGATGTTATCATGGTGGTGTTAGATAAATGGCCAAGAGTTGGTGAGCTGATGTCTGATTTGGTGGTTCGAAATTGGACCTTAGTTTGAAGCGAGCTCAATGAAGAACTCAATTATGCATTCCTAAAGGAATGGGGTGGAAGAATCAATCCTTGAGCAGAGTTGCATCAAATTGAATTAGGGAGATAAGAGAAGAAAGAAGAAGATGTTATTGATAGAGAAATGTGTAAATTAGACTAACTATTATAATTCTTCACTGATAGAGTATATAGCCTTGCTCTGTAACTAACTGCCATAACTAACTCTTCTAACTCCTTAACCAACTAATAACGACTTTAACAGCTTCTACTCCCAGTCTCCCATATTCTATATCTATACAATTGCTATATAACAAGTTTCCCCACTCTGGAAAAGTCCTTGTCCTCAAGGACTAAAGTGAGGAAATTGTTGTTGTAACATGCGAAGATCCATCCATGTACTATCCTCCTTAGGACAGTTAAACCATTTCACAAGGACCTGGGTGATCTGGTGCCCATGCTTAGTAATGCTCCTCTCCTCCAAAATGGCCTCAGGTTCCAAAACAATGCATCCATGAGGTGATAATGAGATTGGTAAATCTGGAATCACAGTAGCAATGCCAACATGTTTCTTCAGTTGTGAAACATGAAATGTGTGATGAATTTTGGCTTGAGGGGCAAGATCCAGCTGATAAGCTACATTGCCCACATGCTTTAGAACCTTGAAAGGGCCAAAGTACTTGGGACTGAGCTTGTGATAGGAGTGCCCTTTGAGAGATATTTGCCTGTAAGGTTGAAGCCTCACGAAAACCATATCACCAACATCAAAAGTCCTGCTAGTTCTCTTCTTGTTTTCCTGTGCCTTCATTCTACATTGAGCCAACTGTAAATGGTGTTTGAGAAGTCGTATGGTAGCTTTTCTAGCTTGTAGGCTTCTATCCACCTTATTCACCATAGAGGTATGAGCTATCTAAGGCATGTGAGTAGGTGGTTTCTGCCCATAAAGAACTTCAAAGGAGTCATTTTGATAGCAGTATGAAAATTTGTATTATACCACCATTCTGCAAGGGGTAGCCATTGTAGTCATTCTTTAGGTCGATCATTACACATGCATCTGAGGTATCCTTCCACACATTTGTTCACCACCTCTGTTTGTCCATCGGATTGGGAATGATAGGCACTAGAGTGGTGCAACTGTACTCCCTGTGTCTCAAATAGATCCTGCCAAAATTTGCTCAGAAAAATGACATCCCTGTCACTCACTATTGTTTGAGGTAGACCATGGAGCTTGTAAATATTGTCAAGAAAGACTTGGGCGACTGTAGAAGCAGTGTAGCGATGTGCCAATCCAATAAAGTGAGCATACTTGCTCAGTCTATCCACCAAGACTAATAGGACTGATTTCTGATGAGATTTGGGAAGTCCCTCAATGAAGTCTAGACTAATGTCTTGCCAAACTTTCTCAGGTATTGGCAGAGGTTGTTGGAGCCCTGGATATCTGATATTTTCCCCTTTGCATTTTTGGCATACCTCGCAATTTCGAACATGCTTGTAGACATCCTGTTTCATCTTGCCCCAGTGTTGATCCTGAACAAGGTAGCAGCCATCCCAGAGTGGCCACCTATAGCTGAATCATGTGAGAATTGCAATATTTCTAATGGGATCAAATCCTACCACTATTTTCCCTTTTTGTAGAGTACACCCTCTTGTAGCATGTAAACTGGATTAGAGAGAGGATCTGCTTGAAGTTGAGCTAGTACTTTCTCTAGGTGTGGATCCCCTTTGTATGACTCTCGAATCCTTAGTAAGAAATTAGAGGTGATTATGGTCAATGTCTGCAGTTAAGCTTCTTACATAGCGCACCTGGATAGTGCATCAGCTACAATGTTCTCTTTTCCTTTCTTATACACAATAGAGTAATCATATCCCATCAATTTGGCCATCCACTTCTGTTGGCTTGGAGTGGAGATTCTTTGTTCCATCAAATATTTGAGGCTCTGGTGGTCTGTTCTAATAACAAAATGCCTCCTAATCAAATAAGGTCTCCATTTGTCAATAGCAGTAACAACAGCCATCATTTCCTTCTCATATACTGAGAGTTGTTGATGTTTGGTGCTAAGGGCCTTGCTCATATAGGCCAAAGGGTGCTCAGCCTGCATCAGAACAGCTCCAATACCTACCCCACATGCATCAGCTTCGATGACAAACTCCAAAGAGAAGTTTGGTAGAGCCAATACAGGTGTAGTACTCATAGCCCGCTTCAGTTTCAGGAAAGCTTCTGTGGCTTCTCCAGTCCACTTGAACTTGTCTTTCTTCAGCAGCTCTGTGAGAGGTCTTGCAATAATTCCATAACCCTTCACAAATCTTCTGTAATACCCTGTTAGTCCTAGAAATCCTCTCACTTTATTGATAGTTTGAGGAGTAGGCCAACTCATCATTACCTTCACTTTCTCTGGATCAGCAGTAACTCCTGTTTAAGTGATGATATGTCCTAGATAGTCAACTTCAGTCTTCTCAAAAGAGCATTTGCTGAGTCTAACAAATAACTAGTTTACTTGTAAGATATCAAAAGCTTGCTACAAGTGTATCAAATGCTCAGACCATGAAGGGCCGTAAATGAGGATGTCATCAAAAAACACCAGAATGAACTTCCTTAGAAAAGGCTGAAAAATCTCATTCATTAGACTTTGGAATGTTGAAGGTGCGTTTGTCAATTCAAAGGGCATTACAACAACTCATAATGGCCATGATGAGATCTAAAAGCTGTTTTCTCAACGTCATGATCAGCCATTCTAATATGATGATAACCAGATCTTAAATCCAACTTAGAAAAGTATTTTGATCCCCCTAGTTCATCCAATAACTCTTCAATCACAGGAATAAGAAATTTGTCTTTGACAGTACAGTCATTTAACTTCCTATAGTCTATACAAAGCCTCCATGTACCATCTTTTTTCTTAACCATAATAATAGGAGAAGGAAAATGACTCACACTTGGCTTGATGATGCCAGATTCTAGCATCTCTTTGATCATCCTCTCAATCTCATCTTTCTGGCAGGATGGATATGTGTAGGGTCTCACATTGATTGGTGATGTTCCCTCCTTCAATACAATCTTGTGGTCGTGATTCCTGTTGGGAGGTAGTTTGCTAGGCACTTCAAACAATGGGGCATACTGTTTTAGGATCTGATGTAATTCTTCTGGGGCTTGCACTTCCTGAGAGTACACGGCTGGCTTAGTTTCTTCAGTTGGGTGAATGAAAGCTACTGAAAGCATGTTGATTTGGCTTGGTTTCTTAAGCATCTTCTGCATTCTAACATCAGCTACTACCTTGAAGGTTCCAGGTTGACTACCTCTTAAAGAAACCTTCATACCCCCAATTTGAAATTCCATCCTTAGTAATTTGAAGTTCCACCTTATGTCGCCTAGTGTGATCCACCATTGTATTCCCAATACCACGTCCGCACCACCTAATGGAATGACCAGCATGTCAGCCCTAAAATCCACACCTTGCATCTTCCATGTCACCCCCGGGTCATCACAGAGTTGTGAACTTTATTGCCATCAGCTACAACCACCGGAAAGGGAGTAATACTGTCTAGTTTACACCCCAATCTCTTGGCTACTGACAAATCCGTGAAATTGTGGGTTGATCCAGAGTCGATTAGAACATGTACGTACCATTGACAGCTCCTTTTACCCTCATGGTCCTATAATCACTGGTGCCATTTAGTGCGTGCATAGACACTCGAGGATTGAGTGTTGATTCCTCAAAGGTCTCCTCATCCACTAAATTCTCCTCCCACTCTTCCTCTTCTGTTCCTTCATCCAATTCAAGAATGAATAATTGCTTTCTTTTACTACACTTATGGTTGGGAGTGTACTTCTCATCACACTAATAACAAATCCCTTGGGCTCTTTTCTTGTCCATTTCTGCAGCAGATAGTCTTCTTGATCCTGGAAGTACTGGTTTAGCATTAGATTTGTTGTACCTGTTATTTCCTATGGCTCTGCTTCCTTCACCCATCTGGTTTGAGAAGATCCTTTTGAAGTGGTACTCCAAGCATTGCTAGAAGCAGGAGGTAAAAATCTTGAACTCCTCACCATAGCTTGGGTCTGATTTTGCTGAAGTTTGAGGGACTGCTCAGCCAACCTTGCTTGACTGTAAGCCTTCATAAGTGTTCTAGGCCCTAACATCCTCACTTGCACTTCAATTTCTGGTTTAAGATTGGCCAAGAAAATGCTAATAGAATGCTCCTTCTAAAAAAAAATGCTAATAGAATGCTCTTCTGTTACCTCCACTTGGTTCAACAATTCATCGAATTTATCAAGGTAATCCTGCACACTTGTTGTTTGTTTGAATGCCACCAATTCTGCCATAGGATCCGCATGCTCAACATCCCCAAATCGGAGATGTATTGCCCTTATATAATCGTCCCAATTGGGGAATCTTCCCATTTTTGCCCTCATATACATTTTATGCCATTGCAACGCCTTACCCTCCGAATTAATGGAGCCAGATTGAACCTTATTTTCCTCCGAAATCTTCTCATAATCGAAGAATTGTTCAGCCTTATACAGCCTTCCATTAATATCTTCCCACTAAATCTAGGAAATTCAAATCGCTGATAGCGACCATTTTGAGAGTGGTTGTTACCTTGCGCATGAACTCCGTCATTTTCCGCCATAGTTGGAGCTGCTTGACCCGCCGGAATTCCATTCCCAGCGACCATGTTTGCCAGCAATTGCCGTATCTCATCCAAAGTATCTTCATGCCTAGCTCCTTGCGCTCGAACTTGTTCACGCAATTCGTCCATCTCACGCCTCAATTCCCCATTTCTCGTGTTCGCTGCCGTCGTCTCCGGCATCTTTCCTTCGTCCGAGAACCGCCTAGCTCTGATACCAGTGAAGCGAGCTCAATGAAGAACTCAGTTACGCAGTCCTAAAGGATTGGAGTGGAAGAATCAATTCTTGAACATAGTTGCGTCAAATTGAATTAGGGAGATAAGAGAAGGAAGAAGAAGATATTATTGATAGAGAAATGTGTGAATCAGACTAACTATTACAATTTATCACCGATAGAGTATATAGCCTTGCTCTGTAACTAACTGCCGTAACTAATTCTTCTAACTCTTAACCAACTAATAACGGCTTTAACAGTTTCTACTCCCATATTCTATATCTATACAATTGCTATATAACATAGTTCTAGTGTTGATTTACTGTTGACTTTAAGGGTTTTGCTGCAGTACCTTCAATTCCATGTCTCTGCTCTTTCTATCTCCAATTTTGGCTATTGAGGGCATATTTGTTTAAATCTGTAATTGCTGCTGTTAATTTTAGCGGCAACTTGTGAGTTTCTAAGGTTTTAGCATTTTTAAATATATTTGTGACTTTTGATTGTCAACTAGTTAATCAAGTATGATGGCTTGCTATTATTGATCATATCCTAACTCTGATGAGTAAAATTTGATTTGTAGGGGAAAGAAGTCCTTACCTTTTAAGGAACAATGTCTATTGCTAGTGTTGCTCTGAGTCCTGTGTTTGAGGATAATTTGAACTTAGCCGGCTGTTTGTCAGCCCAACATGGTTCCTGGTCGAATGATTCAATCTTGATCTTTCTGACTGTGGCTGGTTCTGTAATTCCCTTGCGTGTTAAGGAATCCGACTCTATTGCTTCTGTGAAATTAAGAATCCAGACATACAAAGGTTTCTTTGTGAAGAAGCAAATGCTTGTCTTTGAAGGCAAGGAGTTGGCTCGGAACAATTCCTGTGTGAGGGACTATGGAGTCGCTGATGGCAACATTTTGCATTTGGTTCTTCGTCTGTCTGATTTACAAGCAATTACTGTTAGGACAGTGTGTGGTCAGGAGTTTGAGTTCCATGTGGAGAGAAAGAGAAATGTTGGTTATGTGAAACAGCAGATTGCAAAGAAGGGGAAGGGTTTTTGCAATCTAAAGGAACAGGAACTAATATTTGATGGTGAAGAATTAGAAGATAAGAGGCTGGTAGATGATATTTGTAAACGCAACGATGCAGTTCTGCACTTGCTGGTGCGTAAATCAGCTAAAGTACAGGCTAGAGCAGTGCAAAAAGATTTTGAAGTTTCGATTGTAGCATCATCAAATGAGAATGGGGCTGATGCAGTAGAGAAGCTACAAGAGAATATTCAGGTTTCCCCACTCAATACCGTGCCGAGAAGTTTTATTTTGGAACCATTGATTGTTAACCCTAAGATCACACTATCGCCTGTGGTTAAGCAGCTGATTGGTGGCACTTTCGACGGCATAGAGAAGGGTCACCAACCAATTAGGTCTTCTGAGGGATCAGGGGGTGCTTATTTCATGCTAGATTCATGTGGTCAGAATTATGTCTCTGTTTTTAAACCAATAGATGAGGAGCCTATGGCTGTGAATAATCCCCGGGGGCTGCCATTGTCTGTAGATGGTGAGGGATTGAAGAAGGGCACACGTGTAGGAGAAGGGGCATTAAGGGAGGTTGCAGCATACATTTTGGATCATCCCAAGTCGGGACCTCGCTCAACTTGTAGCGATGAGAAGGGTTTTGCTGGAGTTCCTCCCACAATTATGGTCAAGTGTCTCCATACCGGTTTCAATTATGTAGAAGGTTGTGAATATTCATCCAAGCGTCTTAAGATTGGGTCGCTGCAGATGTTCATGAAAAACTGTGGAAGTTGTGAGGATCTTGGTCCTCGTGCTTTTCCTGTTGATGATGTACACAGGATCTCAGTGCTGGACATAAGGTTGGCGAATGCAGACAGGCACGCGGGAAACATTTTGGTTCAGAAAGATGATAAGGATGGTCAGCTTGTGCTTATTCCAATTGATCATGGCTACTGCTTGCCTGAAAATGTAAGTGTCTTGTCTCAGCATCCTTGGATTTACCAATAGAAGCACATAGTAATCCTGGATGGCATATGCGTAAAGCTTTTCTTTATTTCCCAAAATTTGGCAAGTCGGAATATGTTTTAGTTGTTGTAAATATCCTGGCTTCTCAAGATTTACCCAATGATGATGTAGGTATTAATTAACTTATCTGCTGATTCCTTTACTGGATCTATTTTGGGCTTCTTTATGACTTCTGTGGTGATGTATATATTTTCTTGATAGGTTTTAACATAGAGTTTGTTCTATGAGGACTATGATATAGGTTCAGAGTGTGTCACAGGAAATCCCTGGTATGCATCACCTTGCTTGTTCACTCTAGATCATGGTATACTAGGTGTTGATTCAGTCATAACCAAATTATAAGTTTGCTTGAGGGCTGCTAAGATAGGTTTCTTGGTCTAGTCGCAAGCATCTATGCAGGAATTCTGTTTAAATATGTCTAATGTTCTTTGAAAGCAGACCAAATGTGATGGGGGAAGAATTGAGTTGTGATTGTGGGTACTGATCTATTACTCGTATGCTTCTTATGTTGCCTACCGGCTTATGGAATGTGATTGCATTAATCCAGAAAATGTCCATATGCTCTGCATTTCATCTTTTCTGGTAGTGATTTTGTTCTCATTTTCCCATCCTTTCCTTTTTGCCTTTCCCGCTGCAGTTTGAAGATTGTACTTTTGACTGGCTGTACTGGCCTCAAGCACAACAACCTTACTCTGCCGAAACAATTGCTTACATAAACTCTCTTGATGCCGAGAAAGACATTGAACTTCTGAAGTTTCATGGCTGGACCCTATCCCCTGCATGTGCACGCGTACTTCGTATCTCAACTATGCTTCTGAAGAAAGGTGCAAAAAGAGGGCTCACACCTTTTGATATTGGAAGAATCATGTGTAGGGAGACACTAAAGAAGGAATCTGTCATTGAGCAGATAGTTGAAGAAGCACAAGAGGGTGTGCTCCCAGCAACAAGTGAGGCAGCATTCTTGCAATCTGTTTCGATGGTCATGGATCGACACCTTGATGACTTGATTAAGTAAAACGCATGAAGATGTAGATTTTTTGTGAATAAACTGATTAAGAAAAATGTTTGAAGATGTAGATTTTTGTGCATATGTTATTTCCCGAGTTCTCAATGTGTCTTTATGCATTACTCGGGTGTTCATACAATTTCCTGCCTGCAGATAAGGGCCTATAACTTGACATGTTTTAGGTTTTGCTTATTGTGGTACTATGACTTGATAAATATTTTTCTATTATATAGAAAAGCCAAGTGTGGTCGATCAATGGCATAACTGTAATTTTAGCTCAAGGGTAAAATTGTCATTTCAATCTATAACTTAACACAATTAGACGCATTGAATCTTCCAAACGACAACAAGAAATATCGTTCTCTGTTTCTCAATTTGTAGATGTAGAAAGATATTTTTTGTTATATCTTCTTTTTCTTTCCTTATACTTGTAAAGGTTTCCTTAGATTTGCCAGATAATATTTTTGTCCATTTCTCTTCATCTTCTCAGTTGGTGTTGCAACTTTCAGGTCTGATCCTCTCTCAATGTTTTGCCCAAATCTTGTTATTTTTTCCATTAATTTCTATTAGGGCTTTATTTCCTACCCAATTTGTCTTTTGTAATTAGAGAGTTGGTTGAGGTATAAGAGTTTAGGGCAAAACTTGGATTTTTTTGCCGGCTATAATGGAAGTCTTTTCCACGTATTTGCTGCTCTTAAGGTTGAATAAGCATTATGATTGAATATAGAGTGGTAATATTCATTTTAGAGTATTCTTCATTTTTAGTTCACCTTCTTCTTCACTTTCTTTGTCATGAGCGCTTTATGGGAAATAACTGGGGTTGTTTTGCTCTAATTTTCTCAATATCATGTATTCGCATAGTGCACAACTTCGAGAAAGTTAAAATAGTATTGATCCAATATTTTTGCTCAATTCTTAGGGATAAAATTATACATGTTGATATGTGTAGAGATGAGATCTCATAGTCAGGGATATTACCTCTTTTTCCTTTGTATATTTTTTTCCACCCTTCTGCTCCCTTTTTCTATTTGTTCTTCAAGAAACCTAGGGATAAAAAATAATCAGAAACTTATTTTTGGTTTCAATTTTCTTTTTACTGAATTCCGATGGATTAGAATGCCGTTGCTTTCTTAATATTGTTCTAAACACATTTTTTTAGAAGAACACACTTTATTAATAGAATTCACAGGAGAATTTCGCTGATCTAATGGTTTTCAATTAATGAATATGTGCTTTTAAATTATAGACAACTACTAAACTAAACGAGATCTTCTGGTCCCCTTTTTGGTTTCCAGCAATAGAACGGGTGTTGGGTTAACTTATGTATCTTTGGTTATATATAAGACAACAATGTACATACTAGGAAGATCCACTTGACCAATTATGTGGAGTTTTGAAAGTCTTTCTGCAATCTATATAATCCAATGTTGATTTGCATTGTGTTTTATTTCTCTTGGTGGTGGAAGCTTGTGTTTTGAGCTATAATATATAGAGTGTTTTCTATTGTGAATTCAATTTTTAAATAAGTCACTTATTTAACTGATTTCTTATAAATATGTTAAATTTTAGCATAGCATTGCTAGCCGAATGATGTGATTTATCCCTTGATAGAGAAAGATGCTCACATCAGGGAGTTGCTTCGAACAAACTTAGCTGAACATTAAAATCTTTGTATAAGGAGTTATTCTGGATAAGGAACTTTTCCTTTTACTGCTCATATAAAGTTCTATTTGGCTGAAAATTCACTTCCTTTGAAAATTAATAGTTGTATTATTTTGCACTATTCTCGGTTTACAAGACTAATGACCACTGGGGAAAAAAAAGAATTCACATTGTGTTGAACTTAAAAAATAATCCTCTCTAATCATATCATTATTCAGCAGGCTTATAGAGACAAGTACAAAAATAATCATTTGATTTTTTTCTCCTTCCGTATTATTTTCTATTTCTCACTTTGAAGATACTTTAAAGATGCTTAAGTATCCATTTTAGGAAAAAGAAAGAAGCACTAACACAAGTAACCTCTTTTAAATTAATAATAAATCTTCATAATGAACTTTATAGAACTTCTACTATGTAAAATTTCAATAATTAGATCTTTTTAGTGAACTCACAAGTTCATGCAAGAAGTGTTCATTTTGGGAAAGGAATTTTTGTCACCATATTTTACTTATTGAGATTGTTCTTTGATTCTTTGAAGCAAAAAACAGGCAGGTAAAGCTTCACTTTTATTTGTAATCTCTCCTCCCACCCACCAAAAGAAGAAAATTAGAAAGATGCCAATGGCCTTTTTGATAATGATTTCCTTTTCCTTTTTACTAATAATCAGTCAAATGTATTATAATGATATATTTGATTGATCTTAACTTTTTTGGCCAATTTTAAAGCTCTTTAGATATTTGTCTATCAATGGCAATTAAACTTGTCCATTGAATATTTTGGATTAGATCTTCGAACTATATTCACAACTCTCTACTTCACAGAGTGTGAATGGACTTTCGTTTTCAGGTGACGAAGGTTGTAACATAATTCAAGCCAGACTCTTTGTCTTTATTAGATTAGTAACCTTTGTTTTGTTATCAATTTAATCGAATTTGCTAAAATAAAAAAATCGAATTTGCTTAAAAAAAATCCAATTTGCTAAATAATAAAAAGTTATGTCCAATTGTTAATCTGGTTTATAGCTCATAAGATATTCATCAAGAATCTGGTTGTTCCTATATTATTATCATTTTAGCATATGATCGACATGGAGGTCCATTTTAGGAACATCAATGTTGGTGTTATTACCTATTCATGCCATGAAATAAAGGTCCATGTAGCTAGATATTGAATCAGCACATGCTATCTTTTCATATTCTTTCTTATTGCTCTTCACCTAATAGTTTTTCATATAATTTTCTTGAAATGTATTTCAAATTTGTATTCCGTGTACATGTTTTATCTGAAAGTACAAATGGTGGATTGATTTACCATCTTTGCATATTTGGTAGAGTAATATTCACTTGGCCACTTGGTTAGTGCTTGATAGTTTGGTTTATTCTACTTTTAGTTCAATACATAAATGCACGAGGATGATAGGATTCATGTGTATTTATAAATGGAATGTGCAATTGCATTCACATATATGCTATCTTTTAACATATATAATGTACTATGAACGTGCTTTTGTGATGACTACTTTTGACTTCTTCTGTTTTTTTTGTTTGCTGATTAAAACTACCCAGTAGAACTAAGAGCAAAATTTACTTGCCATGGTTGCAAAAGACTAAAGCTCCTCCTCCATCACTTAAATTGGAAATGGTGTGTGCCTATATTGTGTTTAGTTTTATTTATTCCATTATCTTTAAGTTGTAGTTATCCACATGCTTCAATTGATTCTAACATGCCAGTAGAAAGAGTTTTTATATTGTACGTTGTCTTTTTTTTTTTCTTTTTCTTTGCAAGCTATTTATTTAGTTGTTTGTTTGATATAAGCAAATTAGTGTTATTCCAATCAAAACCATGATGTTTTATGTTGTAATGATGTATTTTTGTAGGATTACAATTGTGCATGTTCAGTATCTTCATTATAACAGAAATTTAATTTATTTAGGGGCTAAATTTTATCTCTACCATACCGTTTCGCTGACGTGCATTGCTTCTTTGTCAGTCTTTCTTAAGTAATGGACTTCAAATTGTACGGCAGATAAAGAAGTTACTTTTACAGGAGGCTTCTGGTGTTTTTATCGTACTACAGATTTATAAAAAAATTCTTAGGTTATGACATTCTTACCTTGCTCAATCAGTTCAAGCAAGTCATTCATAAAGACCAAGTAACAATCAAAGCATATAATTTGGACAAAGATGTACGAGGGAGTTGAATCACCTATTTATATATTCTTATCTATGGTATCTTAGTCATGCAGTTATGGTAGATACTTACTAGCAGAGGATGTTTCAGCAACCAAGTCATAAACAAGTAGTGCCTTTTGACCATCATTTTGTATGGTTATCTTCGTGGATGTCATTTCAATGAGGGACGAGATTCATTATTCCTGAATGCGCAGTCTAAATATATATGCTTCAAGTAGTAGGTAGTAGTCTTATATGTTTGTTACTGTTTAATAAGGATGGAACTTGTGCTTGTGAAATCATGGTTGTTCTAAGGTACGTGTTCCTATTTAAGGGTTAATAATCGATTCTCTGAAGATTAGAAACAATCCATAAACTATATCAGCATTCTAAATGTCAGGCCCGTGCTATGCACGGGCAAGCCTCGTCTAGTATCCTACTATAGCTATGATGGACCAATGACTTGCAGATTCTGAATGAAACTAGCAGTTCCCTTACCACTCATGATATGATGTTGGAGATATCGTAATGTATTTTCTCTTTTTCCCTTTCTCTTGCCTCTATTGGGGGTGCAACCAGCCAAGCAAGCAAGTTTCATGCAGTACTCAAACAGATAGCCTTGGCTGATAAGATATGTATGAAAAATGCATTTTTTACAGCAACTCCCAAAGAAAACAGTTCCTAAGTCGATTGTATTCTGGTAGTTCATAGTTACATGCAAACAATATGGATGAGGATGATGGATGTGGGAGATGTGTAGTGCTCCACTTCATAAATGAAAAAGAATACTAAGTGGGCGTTTGGACATAAGAATTGTAAAATTCCAAATAGGGGGGGGGGGGGTGGGGAGGAATTTTCAAGTGAAAATAGTATTTGAAAGAATACTAACTGGGCGTTTGGACATAAGAATTGTGAAATTCCAAAATAGAGTTGTGTTCGGACATTAATATAATTTTGGGTTGTTTTTGAAGTTTTTTGAGTGATTTGACTGAAAATTTTGAAAAATAGCTTTTTGGAGTTTTTCAAATTTTCGAAAATTTCTAAAATGCATCTTCAAGTGGAAAATTGAAAATTTTATGAACAAACGCTGATCTCGGAAAAAGGTGAAAATATTTTGGAAAAAAGGGAAAAATTTCTTATGTCCAAACGGGCTCTAAGCAAACCGTCTTAGGTTTTTCCGGGTGAAATTCAAAAATAGCCAGATTTACAATGGTAATTGAAAAATAGCCACAATCAAAAGTAATAGAAATTTTGCCACTTTTCATATAAAGATAAATCTGAATGAAAACACTGTTCAAAATCCGAAAAATATTCCAGCATAATATACTGGAGTTCCAGTATAATATACTGGTCCAGCATAATATGCTGGAAGTTCATAAACAGGCGCTCCAATCTCCAGTATATTATGCTGGAACTTTCCGTTTGTTGGAGTTCCAGCATAATATGCTGGAAGTTCATACCCAGGTGCACCAATCTCCAGTATATTATGCTGGAACTTTTCGTGTTGCAGCAAAAAAGTGGCTATTTTTCAATGACTTTGCAAACGCTAGCTATTTTTCAATGACCAATCCAAAAACTGGCTAGCCCGTGCTATTTTAATGGTTTTCTCAGCTATTTAGAAGAAACTTAACTGAATGGTGAACATGGGCTTCCACCAAGCGTGCCCCCCAAAGGGACTGGTCTTAGCGGAAAGTCCCTGTTTTTTTACGGCCTTCGTATAATAATTTCGTTTTTCATTTGAACACCATAGTTTTTCAATTTTTAAAGTTTGAAATTCTTATTTGGTTGGTGAAAATTAGAAGTTAATGATCGATTATTGTTAAAATTATTTTAATGTTGATAATTTAGGCTAAAACTTTTAGTGCAAACACAAATTTTAGCGATTTACTGTAAAAATTTAAAAACTCCATTATTGGACCTTAGAAAGTGTTGAAGAAGACAAAGTGAGTCTTTTATATTTGGTGTTATTTTGATTAAATTGGTGATTGAGAGATTGTGTTGGTATTTGAAAACTTTATTTTAAAGTTGGGATCATTTGGAGCAGATTTGGGGTGGTTTGAATTCAAATTGAAGTTGTAAATTCGAAAAAGACTTTGTTAAAACAAAAAGAATTAACCTAAATAGTCGCCTATCCAACCAGTTAAACTAAAATTAGCCAGTGGAGGTATAATATATGCATAATTTATGGATTATATGTGTATAATTGTGTATAAACAATGTATAATTATGTATATGGCTAGAAAAAGTAAACAATGAATGTGGCTGGCTATTTATGTAAAGATCCTTTAAAACAACCAAGAAAAAGTATGTCAGTCGGGTAGACTTTATTGAACAACTTAACAAATAGGTAGAGTAAATATAGCATCAACTTTACTAACCCGATAGAAAACTCCTTGAAGAGCAAAAGTATGACAATCGGGTAGACTTTAATGAACAATTTAACAGATAGGTAGAGTGATAATTGTTTCAACTCTACCAATGCGGTAGACAATTTCATAAGAAGAGCAAAAGTATAACAATGGGGTAGACTTCAATGAACAGTTTAATCCGGAAATTCATAAGCTATGTGCAGGTTCAGAGTCGACTTTTTTTAATACCGCTAATTTTAGGGACATTCGACTAAGACCACTAGTGTTTGAGCATTTAATAGAGAGACCTTATTTAGATACTTACACCAGTCATTTTTGCCAATTTTCTTCGTTCCCAAGTTTCCAAACCCATCAACCTCCCCAACTTTATTCTATGCCTTTGGTCTTTTGGATTGGACCATCGTCACCGGACCCAAAAAAGTTTGGTCCTTTGACATTCTTTCTTTTCCTTTCAAAAAAAGCTAGAGCACTAACACCAGAATACCGTTGTATCCATGTATAATT